GGATACGAGAGAAAAAAAAGAGCGCGTTCGATGGAAAATAAAACAGGGCTGAAAGACGCTAAGGAGAATTAGGGTATGAGACGAGATTATGTCGACTGCCTTCGTATTTTCCACCGGGCCGTAGTAAAGGAACGATGAGGCAGTTTGTTCTAAAAATCCTAATTTGAACGTTGCACTGAAGTTACGGGGGACAGTTTCAAACCGTGTAGAAAGTAAGTGGGCAGAGAGAGATTGCTTTCTTCTGGAGAGGAGAACAAATGAGGACAGCTATAAAAATGCTTAGGAGAATCTTGCGGAGCTGAAACCGCCTGCGCATGGCAAACGAACTTTCTTGTACACAACAAACACGTGCAATAGTGACGTACATGATTAAAATCATTCAATTTTTAATTGCTAAATATAATAATAAATTTTGTACTGGACAGACGTGATAATGTCAGATGAAAAGTTAACAACTCTTTTGTTTTACACGTTTTATTTAACCACGTTTAAGAGACAACTACGATAATTTAAATCGCTCATTTACTTACATACAAAGTACATACGTTACGTACAAACGCGTGCATTCGTGTGAAATATGTCAAGTGGTACGTATAGTTAATTCGAACGAAATGCATACTTGGCATAAAAATACGAAGTTGATCGATGATTTAAAGTTAAGCGAAGTACATCATAGATTTGACAAATTTCATCAAAATTTTTTTATAATCATTCGCATTGATTTTGTCTTCGTGCAAATGGTCTGAAAATATTTAACTGAATTTTCTCGTTGGATAAAGAAATAGATTTTGAAGAGGAAAATAAATATTTCGGGATATGTATATTTACATTCGTTATAAAAATTGTTTAGACAGACTCCAGAAAAAACAAAGGGAAACTACAGAAACTGGAGTTCATCACTTTCAGGGAATACGAACTGTTCTGCCGGCATTCAACAGTTGCGCTAGTTTTTCACAGCACTGGAATTCAATCAGTGCGCTGGTAGATACTAATTGAAAAGAAGTATGGCAAAAAAACAGAAAAACCATCGACAGCAGCTGTCGCCGGTTTTTCTGCTTCCGTTGGTGCCGTCGCAATTAAAATCGATGAGAATTATTGTCGAAACGATCGTACAATTGAGTTAAAAAATCGATCGGATCACGATAGTATGATTAATTTCATAATGGGACATCATGTTCGGATGAACGTTATAGAGATTTGAAAAATGAGAAAACGCACGTTCTCGTTGGTATCCTGTATAAAAAGCGGTATAAATACGTGTATAAATAATTGTACTGTTAAAGCTTTGAAGGAAGCATTTCAATGGTCTATCAGTATCTCTTGACGTTTCAAATTAAAATAGTAATTACTAAGGAGTAGTAGTCATTAAATTAGCTGTGTAAGTATCGTTTAAGTGAAATGCACAGAGTAACAGTTATAACTTTAAATAAATGAACTATTCATTATTTCCACTTAATGTAATTTATGAACGACTGGTAATTATATATAAATTAGTTTTTATATCACAAACAAATACTTATTAGGCGACTAGCATGAATAAGAGTGTAGGTTGAAATGAGATAATAAAAATCAGCTGGAATTCTTACTACGGTTCTGGTTACGTATGATTTATCGTAAATTTAACCCCTTGCACATTTGACACATCGATAACGATCTGACGATTTTTCGTGATAATATATCATGTGTCAATCGTGACGTAAATGTATGAAGACGATAAATTACGAACATACATAATATATACTGTGCTTTCATGCAATATGTAAAAACTCAAATAATGATGTTCGAATCCTCTAGAGTTTATCATAGAATCTGATGTCAGACTGAATAAAATCGTGTCATTTTATGTAGATAGTATGAATGTATTAAGGTGGATAGATTTTCCAAATTAGAACAGATCAGAATAAATAATAAAGTGCAAAGGGTTAATATTATCAGACTTGTCTCTAATACATCCCACTGAATTGTAAATATCTTTGCCACGTAAACTGTACGAAGACTTTCATAAGTACTCAGACTCTTAAAAGGAACAAGTTTACCTAGTTCATGGTTGCATAACTTTCATTAGTCTTAGTTCACATTAGAATTCGATTTTTCGCGTACAATCCAGCCACGTTGATAATCGCTTTCATCGTGTCTTACATTAATCTCTAGCATGTTATTCAGAAAAGTATTTCATCTTTCTACAACATCTTTCTACTACAAAATATTAATTCCAATACAAGCTTTGAGTTTGTATAAGAGTCAAATTAAAGTATAACGATCAGTGAACACTTCCTACTTTCTTTGAAGCAACTTTCACTTTCTTAGAGAAGATCATCCATGTAATAACTGGAATCTCGTCAGGGCGCGCAACTATTTACGAATCTGAATAAATTATCTATAAATAGCTGGAAGAACAGAAAGCCTTTTAAAAATATCGACTAGTTGCATACATACGCGTCGCGTTTTATTTACGATTTTTCAACCAATCATAAACTCAACAAGACTTCTTTATAGCCCTTAAGAGTAGCTCCTGCGAAACTCATCACTGCGTCCCGAAGCCATTACCTCTCTTTCTATTTCAAACAGTTAACAACTTACTATAGAAAACGTCTCACAGCTTCGATTCAGTCCTTTTAATTCCCCGCCCGAAACACTGAATCATTTATTACTAACGTGAATGATTAAAAGATTTTTGGAATAGAATCGAGCAGTGATAATGCGAGTTTCGTATCACGTCCTGCGTTCTAGCAGTTCCAGAGTATACTTTACTGTCCACATGATAAATTGGACACAGGGTTGCGAACAATTGTGTCTACAACGGAAGCGACTACTACGCGCTCGTCTCTTGAAGCTCGGTGCAGTCGGTTGGCTTTACTTCCAGCCACCAATTGTTCGGATAATGATACTTCTGCAACTCGATGCCTTCCCTAGGGACTGGCATCGGTCGACCACCGAACTGTTTCACCGGCAAGGGTGGAATCACGAGCTGAGGCGGGAAGCACTGCAGGCTCGGAGAGAATTCGCAATCCGGAGGCAGCATCCTTCTAGTCCAACCGACTCTCCTTACCATTTGCGTCTGTAATAAGACAGAAATAATAAAATACAGTATGAATAGAAT